TCTGTTGTATCTGTCTCCAAACCTCTTCAGACCACCTCAGTAGAATTATTAAATTTCTCATAATTTAATAATAAAAATAAGAAGAAAAAATATTGGAGATTAAAATAAAAGAACTAAAAATCGCGTTAAATTTCCAATGGCTTTCTTTCTTATTTCATGGCATGATGCATGTCACATTTTACGTTCAGTATCCTTTCCTCTGTCTATTCTATCATTTGTCTATAATGAAATGCACAGCATCCTCACCTTTCTACAATAATTTTATCATAATTTAGTTTTAATGCCTCCATACTTCTTATACATTTACCTCATATTTTGTGTGATTTAATCTGAAGTAATCCTTAATTAGCGAACTTCAATCCTTAATAAACCTAAAAAAATTTTACATGTATTTAGATGCCTATATATATACGAGTATTAATACAATAACCCATACCGAAAATATTGACATAATCGTCTCCTAATAAATTTTTTATGAGTTTAAACCTTCATGAAACACAAAAGAACAAAGAAAAAAATTATAATGTCCTTTTCTTTTTTTCGTTATAAACTTTCTTCCCTTATCCATTGTTAACAATAATTTTATCACCAACAACGCGTCAACAACATTCCAACTGTGTTGCTGTGACCATTTTGTAACTTATCCTCTTTGATTGTGTCCGAATTATATAATAAAGTTAAGTTAATTTGTTGAAACTACTACAGACGGCTAGTATGCTTGATCAAATGAAATAATGCAAAAAAAAAAAACAAAAATATTATCCAACTGTGTTTTTCGATTTACTCATATTGAGAGCATTATAGGGTAATAAAGAGTAAAAGAGATTTAAGTGATCCTAAATTTCCTATTCTCCCGAATCAACATTAAATAAACGACAAATTTATTAATTTTTGTTTTTCACTTTATTTTTATTATTTCTGGAGCGGCGTTTTAACTCGTAAGTCATCATCTTAATAAACATACGCACATATTTATAACGTCACGGGCGGTTTAGAGAAAAAATTCTGCTTTGTTGTTGTTTTCCTTTTTGAACAAACCATAAAAATCCCTTGCATATTACATAATGTGAGTGCATGCGAATGTGTTTGTTGTTAGTTATGTTGTTTACAATGTGTGTATACAATGCTGTTAAACAACAGGAGTCCATGCTGATTACGTCAAGAAACCGCCAAATGGAAATAAATCAATAGTCGATGACACTTTTTTTTTCATTTAAATTTTTCGATTTTATTTCTTTCTTCTTTACTCTTCTTCTATTTTGTTTTGCTTATTTTGTTAATAAATTTTCATTCTAAATTTTATTAATACATACATAAAATATGAATATGAACGTAATATAGGGTGTATCTGTAAATGTTTCTGAGAATATAGGATGGCAGCATACTTTAGTTAAGCCAGGGAAACCAAAGCTAAATTAGATTTTGCGATAAGTTGATTTCGATATAAAAAAAACGAATTAAAAATTGTTTGTGTAGGTCCATAACATCAATTATTTCTTGTCAAACTACTTTTGTCACAAAGTTTGTTTAACAGACTGATGAAACTTACCGCCTTCGAGAACCAGTTCGAAGCAGCTTTCAAGTAATTGATGCCCAACTACTACAGTAATTTGTCAAACATTTAATTAAAAAAAATTAGTTACACTCTCCGTAAGTTTACTAAAGTTCTACAACATAATCAAATAGAAGAGAGGCGCTCTTCTCCGCATTATATTTATTTAAACTAGAAAAAATTTAAGTTTTTGACAAATTATATCCTAAACCTAAGCCAAACATAATTTTGCGCGAATCAACAGTATTTAAAACGAAAAAATTCATATTTCAAACTACATAATGGAAAATAACCCTGTCTCTCAATGTTCATATGTATGTTTTTTTAATAATTAAAAAATTAACGAAGATGGTGTGTAGACAATTTTTTTTTCAAACTCGAAAGAATCATCAAACCGTCATAAAAAAGCAATCTGTTTAATATTTATTTATTTGGGACTTTCTTTAGACTTGATTAAATTTTCATATATTTTATTAGAAACCTAGATTAGATGTTGAAAGAAATTCGGAGTTTCTCGTTCCCATCCATGAACATGAAAAGAAAAATAAACCAAAAAACAATATTTTATTTTGAATCTTAAATTAAAAATTATTTTCCCAAAACTATAATGAAAAACCGAAAGAGAACAGAACACAAAACAAAAGGGCTAATTTAAGAGGAACAAAAAAGGAAATTAGTCAAAATTAAAAAAAAAAGTTGGTGCAACAAAAATTCAAGCCTTATCCGAAAAAAGTGATTAATCCAATCCTGTGAGAATTTCTTTTCTTTTTGTTTTTTTGTTATTTTCATTCTGGTTTTGAATCGACCTTGATTTTGAGAGCAATTTATCAAAATAATATTTTTCTCATTTATAAAATATTAAAATCTTTTTCGAAACATTATGTATGTACGTACACATGTGCAATAATTTTTTATTCCAAAAGATTTACCGCAAGACAAAGTTATAAGGTGCTCTCGAACCAATTCAATATAATCGAATCGATCGACCTATGAATTAATTAAAAATTAATTTTATTTGATGAATTCACAAAATAATAAAAACCGATTGTTTTCTTTTATAATTTTTTTTCAATTCTTAATCATATTTGGATTCTTTTTTATAATGAGTATATAAGATTCTATAGAAAAGATTTATAAGAACTGTAGGAGTCTTGTTGACAGAACAATCTATAAGAGGATTATGCGGTATAATCACAAAACTCGACCGAACAAAGTGATATAGAACAAAAAAGATGTTTATTGGGGGTGTAACCGCGTCCATATAATCCCATTTAAATTATTTTACGATAGAATTATGTTAGTGAAGCGCCGTGATTTAATCGTCACCGCAGGTTTTATATATTAGTAACGGATTGTGATATATTTTTGAATAAAATGGAAAATAAAGGTTTAAATATTGCGTTTTTTAAATTAATTTACAATTTAATCAAAATTTATTAAAAAAAATTAGTAAAAATTTTAGTTGCTAAGCTTTCGTTTCAAAGTAAATTAAGTTTTCCTTGCCTAATATTCATTAAATCTCGCAAGCCGAAATACAGAATTGCATAATTAATGTTGTCCTCAAAATCAAACACTGGATTTAAGAAATATTACCTTAGTTTTTCAATATAAGTTGAAGTAAGTATTTATTCCATTTGGTAATTTGAGATTGAAGATTGAAACAATTAATAACATGCGCAATTTTAGGCGACGATATTTTAGACTTAATGCTTATGACGATATTTATGACTTAACGTAGATATAATCATAATGTATCATAAGATGATACATATCAATCTTGACTCATTTCCTCTTTCAATGACTTGATACCTGTATTCAAAGCGTCCGTAAATTGTCGTAAACTATTATCACATTTGAAGGTCGTTAACCTGATATTAAAGATTCACTTTTTCTTAAGCTTAGAATACGTCATTGTTGCAGTTACTTTCGGAATCGAAGTCACTAGTTCGGTTTAGTGGAGAACTCTCTAAAAAACTCCCGTTATCTCTCGTTGATGATATGAACTGACAATTGGCAGTCCCTTTCTCAATAAAAAAAGTTCGGGTTTTGAAGAACTTACATTTTATTGAGATTTCCGTAAGATCTAGAAGTGCATTTGATGGATTACACTACCATTGTAGACGGCGTAATTCCAAAAGTAACTGTCACATACGTATATTCTATACAGTAATAATTTTAAATTACTAACTAACAAATTTACTCTACTTGTCATCCAATTCAGTTTCTGCTTTAAACTTCTTAACTTTATAAAGTTCAAGCAATTATGAAAATTTGTTTATACAGGGAGTAAGACAGAATCTAATCTCTTAATTTTTTTAATTTCGTGTTAATGACCGTCAACATACCCAAAATAAAATGTTGGTGTTTTTTTATTTATATTTTAATGACTTCCTTTTTTTTTGTTTTTCAGTTCAGTTTTTGATCATTAAGTTTTTGACATGTTGCATTTATTTCTCCTTTTTCTGTATTCATTTTTTACAGCTCTCAGTTTTATTATTTTATCCTTAAACGGTTCTTCTTAATAACTCATAAAAATGTTCCCATGTCATATGCATTTGAAAAGAGCAACCAACAGAATAAAAATAAAAAAATGTTTTCAAGATTCGCAATTATGAGTTTAATAGCTTCGAAACTCATCAAAAATGTTCGCTACTTTTTGTAATTTTTATTGGGAATAATTCAAAAACTTTTTAAAACAACTTGAATCGAAAATTTATTATGAATGAATAAATTAATTTGTCTATATGGAAGAATGAAAACCCCAAATCTTTAGAGTATGTAAGTTTTTTTCCATCTTTTTTACTGCGCTGATTGAGGACTAGGAACTTCAGTTAGCATGTTTAAAATAGAATACATACTTTTAAACACAAACTAATACATACACCAAAAACTAAGTTGCTTTATACTTAGGAAATTGTAAAATTGGGTGCGATACAAACCGCGTTTAAGAATAATAAAAAAACACAACTGGGTCTTGGGAATGAGTTAATTGACAATAATTCTTGGAATTAATTCTAAAGTTTATTTTTCATGAAGAAAATAAGAGAAACATAAAAAAGAAAGATAAAATAAAAAATCGTTAAAGTGGGAACACAGAACGTTACGCTTACTGATAACATCAATCTCATCAACTCAATTAAAATGTCCGACAAGTTTCTTAGAAATAATTAATTTCTTTAAATGATATTTCCTTAAATGATATTCAGAATTTGTGGTTGGTATTTTATAGCTAGCTATCGCAACTTCTTAGGTGTCATTTTTATTTTACATTTTATATGTTTTTTTATTTTTATTTTTAAATAAATTTTGCTAATTGGACTGATATTTCATACGGAGAACGTGTCATATTTGACATTTTAATATTAAGAATTTATTAAATTTCAATAAAGTTTAAACATTTTAATATTAATTCAATTTTAATTTTTTGTTTTGCTTTTTCTTACATCAGGATCATCCCAGTTTACGTGGTACACCGCTTGCAATGTTAGCAGCACAATGTAATAAATTGTCAAGTAAATCACCACCACCACTAGCTGATGCTGCTGTTGGAAAGGGATTTCATCCTTGGAAAAAGAGCCCAACAAATGGTTCTAATTCAGGTAATAACAGTGGGCCAGGAAGTAATGGTTCAGCTAATAATAATGGTCAAAATTCACCTTGTGCTATTTCATCTTCTTCACCATTATCCGTATCGAATAACGTCCAAAGATCTTTACCATCAACTACAATTAATTCAATGTCAAATATTTCTGTAAGGTAGGTGATCAAACAATTCTAAATCCAATTTTTTCTCACAAATAATAAAAATTTTTATTTCAGTCGACCGATAACATCATCCTGTTCAGCAGCAGTTTCTACCCCATCATATGGCAGTGATTTATATTTTCCAAGTGCAACAGCATCACCAACAGTGGCTGAAAATCCACATATGCACCAAGGCTTTTTAGGTAAAGTTGAAGGTGCAGCATTTGGTTCTGTTTATTCAAGACATCCATACGATTGGCCATTTAATGCAGTCGCAGGGCCACATAAAACAGAAAGTGTTAATTCTGGTTGGTGGGATATGCATAGTGCTGCTGGAAGTTGGTTAGATATGGGTAGTGCTGCAGCAGCTGGTATGCATTCAACAATGGCAAATTATGCTACGGCTGGTTCCGATTATTCATCATTAACACATTCTTTATCAAATACGGCTCATTTATTAGGATCTGGTCAACATTTACTACAAGATACTTATAAGAGTATGTTACCAGGGCAAGGTGTTGGCGGATTCAGTTTACCTCATGCAACAAGTCCAAATACTCCAGGTCAAGCGGCAACCCCTAGTACACCATCACCAAGATCACAACGAAGATATGCTGGTAGAGCAACATGTGATTGCCCTAACTGCCAAGAGGCTGAACGACTTGGACCAGCTGGAGTTCATTTAAGAAAGAAAAACATTCATTCATGTCATATTCCGGGCTGTGGTAAAGTGTATGGCAAAACAAGCCATTTAAAGGCACATTTAAGATGGCATACTGGTGAGCGACCCTTTGTATGTAATTGGCTTTTCTGTGGTAAACGTTTTACACGATCTGATGAATTACAACGGCATTTAAGAACGCATACAGGAGAAAAACGCTTTGCTTGCCCAATATGCAATAAACGATTTATGCGAAGTGATCATTTAGCAAAACACGTTAAAACACATAATGGTGGAGCAACAAACAACAACAACAATAATAATAATAATAACAACAATAATATTAAGAAAACATCATCAGAGTCATGCAGTGATTCAGAAGAAACAACAAATCAATCAGGTGGTAATGTTAATGCTGGTGGTCCCGGGAATAACATTGGCATTTCCAATGATCAACAATCAATTCACCATACAGGTCAATCACATCCGGGTACACCAACACATCCTGGTATGACACAAATATCCAATCATCATATGAGTGGTTCACCTTCTTTAATGCAACAGCAGCAACATCATCATCAAATTTCACATCTACAACAACAACAACAGCAGCAACAACATCATCATAATCATCATCATGCACCTAGTCCCGGTTTAATTGATCATCATAATAATTTAGATATAAAACCACCTCATAATTTAGTTTGAGGCTCACTGGGACCTCTTTTATTCTCAACACAAGTTATGGGAATGGGGTCCTTTAATTAAATTTTACATAAAATTGTAAAATTTTTAAAATTAAACGCAAACGATATTATAAAATTATAAAAATACAATTTTGTTAAATTTTTGTAGTGTATAAATTTTGAAATTACTAATTGAACACTGAAGGTGTTTGATAAACTTATACATATTTCATTGTAAACATAAATTAATTAATTTCGTACGATAGCCTTATAGAGAATGTTTTGTGAAGTAGATAGCAAGCCTGTGCATTAAAACGCATGCAATATACAAATGGCTAAAGTTTAAATAAAGAAAAACATATGTAAGTTCTCAATTCAGGAACTTTCTTTAGTTCACACTCTAGATTCAAAAGCTTCTGGAACCATCACTAAAGAGTAATTACTTTATAACTATATACACAACTCTGAAATTTATCGAATTTTCGGAACTCTAAATTTATAAATAAGTTATTGTTAAAATTTACCTTTTATTATTAAAATTAAAATTGTAAATATTCCACTTAAATGAAATTGAAATTTTAATACTTAAAAATTAATTAAAATTATTGTATTTGTTAAATAGAAAACAAAAATTGTATTTCTTAATAGAAAGCAAAAAAAAATGTAATTATAGTAACTTTTTCAAATCAATCAAAATTTGCATAAGAAAAATTGAACAAATTCTTTTAAAAAATCTTAACATTCGGTAAATAATTTCAATTTTAAACTCTTAGTATGTTGTTTAACACTCAATAAATTGACGTTACGTCAATTTGATGATAAAAAGTTCAGTACTACATGAATATAGATTGCTGATTGCACTGTGTATTCCAAGCTCTAAACTGTATAAATGTCTACTCAAAAATTTAGCAGGCACTCCAGAAAGCCTAGAAAATTCAGTGTAAAGTTAAAGTGCCAATTTTATGACTGTAATTTTTTTGGTACCTTTACAATGTAAGTACATTTATTGCATAACAGTTGAAAATTTGTCTTATCTTTAAGAAAATACAATATAGATACTAGAATCGACATGTGCATCCTATTCTAGAAAACAAAGCGCAGATTGTATTATATTACTATAATATTCTAAATTGTCAAATACATCAAGCAATTTTAGCATAATTGTACTTTACAGTGGTACTCCAACTCATTGAAATTGTACGATTCAAATTACTACGAGTATAAAACAAAATTTTAATTTCTAGAAGAATTTTTTCAAAATTTCAATTGTCAAATTTGTTCACATGCTAAAAGAATTAAAATTGTCAAAATTTTTTCTTTGTGTTAACCTTTTAAATTCACATATTATGCAAAAACAAATCTTAGATAATTAAACTTAATCAAAAATAATTAATAAAAAAAAGTAATTTACTAAATATTAAAACAAAAAAAATTATTATTATTATTTATTTTAAGTTTTTAAAATGAAATTTAAAAAATGCTTAAATTAAAGTCTTTAATTTTTAGAATAACAAATTTATTGAATACTTTAAAGGAAATAAATGAAATTTATATAGATTTTTATTTAAATAAAATAATTAATTGAAAATATCAAACGTATTATGGAATTAACAATTTTTATTGTATGTAAAAATAATTAAATTAAATAAATTTTATTAAATAAATTCATAAAAAAATTCAAAAATTATAAAAAATACAATTGTAAAATTAAAATTTTAAAATAATAGAAATAGGAAGCTAAATTTTAATTTATATGAAATTAAATAGAGAAAAATTAAAAATAATTTTAAATATAATAGAAATAAGAAAAAAGAATATATTGTAAAATAAAAATATTTAAAAAAAATTTTATTCAGTAGAAAACAAATGAAAAATGAAAAAAAAAATGAAATACATATTAAATATTATGTGTGCAACTTTAACTTTTGTTGTAATTTAATATTTGCTTCAGAAAATTGAGTTTTTATTCATCTAAAACCAAGTAACTTCAAACAATTTAAAATTCTAGTTGTGTAAAACAGATGTCCACAACGTGACATATTAAAATTATAGAGTTCCGTTGATATCAACACCTCCCTTAATTTCTTATTAAATATTTTTGATCGTTTAATTTATTTTATGGCAATTTTCGTTAATTCAATTCTAGGAATAGTTCAAACTTATTTGAATGCTCGAATATTACACACTGCACACACTGAAAATATAAATGGTTCGGAAATTACTGTGCAAATAAATCGGAGATTGCGCAGATTTTTAATTTTCATAACAATGTCTTTAATGTAAAACTTAATTGAAATTTTTGCACATTGTTTAAATTTCTTGCACATTTTTAACGTAAAATTATCGGTACAACGTGCATTAACAAAAAACCACCGAGCATTTGTGTAATTCACTCACGCTTTTCATAACCTAATTTTTTAATTAAATGACATCATAAGAACAATACCTCATTCTACGTGATATGGTAAAGAAATCTGAAATGTAAATTTCTTAAATTGAGAAGACGAAAGCTCTAGTTTCTATTTGAATGAAAATAATCACACAGTCAAAATCCAATCTTTTAAAATTTTAATCACAATAGTACCATTTTATTTGGACTTCTCAATTTTTTCCCCCAATTTTATTTAAAATCCATAGATTTTTTTTTAATTCTCCTCATCCCATCAACAATTTTGGGTAATAGGCAAAGAATTGAAAACATCTTTCAGCTCATTGACTTTTCCGTTTCACAAAAAGCAAAAAAAAAACATTTTTTCTTTGCTAAAATGTGAATCGTTTTTTTAGAGTTGCTGTTTTTAGTATTGTTCTTCCTGCAATGTTTTCCCTTACGACATAATTTATGACTTTTTTTAAGCGTATGTTACTTTTTTTCGTCGGTTGTTCATTTTACAGTTCGTTTTTTATTATTCAACCCCAACAAAATAAAAAACAGTATTTTGAAGAAAAAAAATCCAAATTAAACATTAGTTACAGACATTTATGAGCTTCCGCTAAAAATATGCGTTGCTAAATCAAATGACAAACATTTAATAAATGTTTTTTTTTTTTTTCTTAAAAATTAAAACGTTGGAATACATAAAATTTTCGTTTGGAAGGGTTCATGTGAGAAAAGTGTAGTTCAACCCTGTCACCCAGCACTAGACAAATAGAAGACCGATCGGCATGCACCCTGGGGCACGTTTCTCCCCTCTAAATCTATCCAAGTTCATTGGCAAAGATCCGGGCCCCTCTGTGAATTCCCCCACTCCATCGCAAAGATATTCTCTCAAAAAGTGCCTTATGTTTCGCATCAGAGCGACCTACTCGCGGAGCACGTGTAGGACGCCTTCCACCACTCCAATGTCTCGGCATCCCTGGAAAAAATCCGGTATGAAAATATCTAGCCTCCTTGCCATCTTTCCCAAAAACAATGTCCCGTCAAGATAACATCTACAACATCTTTGGAAGGTTATTTTTACTACGAACGTAATTTATGATTATTCCATTACAAATATTCAGAACAAAATAATTCGTGATTGACAATTGATATTCGTAATTTTCCAAATGTTCATTAAAATGATGATTTCCAAATGTCTTGCAATAGTTATTTCAAAATGACGTAAAAACAATAAAACCAATTTATTGTTCAATCTCGTCTCTTACGTTATTAATTACTAAAAAAAGGAACTAGCGAAACTGCTAAAGGTATTCTTTATTTATAATTTGAAATACGAGTAGTCTGGTTAGTGTGATTTTATTTATAGGACTCAAAATTTATGGCGCGTTATTTAAAAAATAATTATAAGTTTGGTTACAGACATATGAAAAAATGCTTGGTCCGGTCAAACAAAAAGGAAATCCTAAAGGTGTGCAAAAATTATATGAGAAAAAGTGAGAAGTGTATCTTCACTCTTGTGATTAACCTGCTTCAAATTATCGCAATGAAATTAAGCTCCTCTAAAATCATATTAAAATTAAAGTTATCCTACAGTAAACAATTTTAAAGATTATCATTTTTGTTTTGTCAAATTTTAATTTTGAAAATATTTTTAATACCCCATAAATTTATAACGTTTATTTATTCCGGAATCATTGAAAAATTCGAAAAAATAACAAATGTAATCAAGAGTTCAAAAATCATACAATGCTTACAACGACATTTGTAGATTTTACTTCTCAATAGTTTAATCTTCAAAAATTTTCTTGCCTCTTTAAATAAAAATCTGGTGAAATATGTTTTTTTTATATAACACTAACCAACGCTGCAAATTATTCACATCTTATGATTAAAAAAAAATATTTATTCCCTTTGAATAAAATTTCAATTTTACAGCACCAGCAAAATCACAAACATTTACTGGGATTATTCGACAACATCATTGCTAATGAGATTTTTTCTTCCTTTTGTGTCCTCATCACACAATTTATACTCTGTTGTGGTGTCACTTATTATTATTATTATTATTGTTGTTGTAAGTCTTATTGTTCTATATAATAAAATGAATTTTCTATAGTCATGGTGCAATATTTCTAACCCCAAAAACTTCAAGCGAAAGTAAAACGTTAATCATTTGAAAATCATTGATAATGATGATTTCGTTTTCCACAAAATAACAACGAGAAAAATAATTTGACGGAAAGGAATTCTTCTGATCATCACAAATAACAGCTACAACACATAATAAAGACCGGCAACATTTATCAAATCATTGTCAACATTATTGTATGCTACTATATATGTAGCTATATCAACTTCTTTACTCTTATAATTTCATACTTAAATTGCGCATCGTTTCAATGCCTCCGTTTCCTTCAATGATTTTGACTTTAAGGAAGAAATTAAATTCAAAAAAAAAAATTAATAAAAATTATTTCAAGAAATTGAATGAAACATCAATGAGGGTTGTGTATATTTATAAGCTTATATTATAAGATACATATTGATATTTAAAAAGGGGGCTGTAAAATCTTTATTACCCCATATGAATTGCATGAAATTATTTACAATAAATTCTTATAAATTTCATTCACAATAGACTGGGGTTATTTAATTTTTATAGAATTTTTATTATGTGGATTATTTTTTATGTAAGTATCAAGTGATATGGGAAGTGGATTATGTTTTATCGAATGTCTATTTAGTGTCTATTTTAAAAGTAATAAAAACATTTTTGGGGTTTTAAGAAATAAACATTGAAAAAAAAGGGGTCGACCAAAGAAAGATTCTTCATTCTTTTGATAACTTCAAAATAAGGGTGGTTTATTATGTTTTAACTATGACTACATACACACAAACATATTTGCGAGTTGAGAAGAATCTATTTATTTTTGTTTGTACATATGTTTTGTATACAATATTTGAATTAAATTTTAATTTAATAAAAATGTTTTGATATTAAAATTAAATGATGGAATTAAGAAAAAAACATAATGCAAAAAATTAATTGAATACGATAATGTTATTGTATTTAAAGAGATTTTTGTGGATTTATAAAGGAGAATAAAAACAGGAGTAAGTAATTAATTTGTTGTGTTAAAGAGATTATTTTATA